TACTCTGTCCATCTTGCCAAGGTCCAAACCCTCAAAGTTCTTCAATGTCAAAAAGGGTGGTAAAGTGAATCTGCAAGAGAACAAAATCAGCATCTTTTCTAGAAGTGAAAATTAGCTCTGACATTTAAAACTTGACAATAAATTATAAACTATATTGTCTTTTTTCCTTTTCTTGCAAGCAAAACATATCAAAAGTGATGTCAATGTAAGGTACCTGTTCTTGATGTCAGCTTCCCTGCGACCTAGTCTTGGGGTATCAACTGTAAGAGCAATAGCTTTGAACCCAGCCCGTTCAGCTCTTCTCACAAGTTGGGCAACCACATTCCTGTCCTTATAGACCTAAACATCACAAGCAATTTACCAGGTATTTCCCATGAATCCTGTTTATCTCATCCTTCACAGTTAAACAGTATATGAATATCCAATGTACAATCTTGAGCTTACATAGAGCTGGAAAAAGCGAATGCCAGGTCCAGTTGAAGCAACCTCTTCAACGCTGGAAGTAGCCCATGAAGATAAAGTCTGAAACAAATTCCAATCCAGAATGAACTCATCATTGAACTAAAACTTCAACCACATTTTGATCAAAGCATCTCACAATAAAGAGTATGAATCCATTAAAAGAATTAACAGGATCATCACAAAGAGCATCACTGTTTATGAAAAGATTACGTGAAAAAGTTTTCACTACAGAACTTGACAGCACCAAAGAAAGGTGTCATAAATGATTAAAACCAGTAATTCTAACTCTGGCAAATTAATTAACAATACGGTGAGCTCATGATTTGGAGAAGAAAAATGCCAAAGCATGTAACACCTCTGAGGAATATATTGCTTATCTACTTGAGATTTTCCTTAATGGTCTTCGTTCAATCCTAAAAATCTCCTTTGGTTACCATGTTGGTTACTTTTATTTGAAAGGACCGGCAAAACATGACTCAAAAGACTAGTGAGCCAAAATCCATTAAACGGATGTGAAATACTTTTAATTGGCTAGTATATATTGGACAACCAAACGGATATACATCAATTCTCTTTTCCTCTAGAATTTCCTTTATATTATTTGGAAATCACTGCCAACACAACAACTGAGTTTCTGAAAGTTCTCAAGTAATACTACTCAAGAAGTCGAGAACTTAGGATAACAAAGGAGACAAATTTAGGTGGAAACAAAAAGTTGAAGAGCCAAACCATAATTGTGCCAGCAGCTGATGCAGCTCTAGCTGTAGCATACTCCCCTGCAAGAGTTAAAGCATATTATCAGAACAACACATGTTTTGAACCAAATGCAGAAACCAAATTCGTTTTGGGAACGAAACAAAAAACCAACAAAGAGTCATAATTGAAGCATATCAGACATGTATGGGACTTTACCTTCCAGAGTCGTCAAAATTATCAAAACATTTCTTTTTTACCAATAAATAAGTGAACATAATTCTTTTTCTAAATCTACTTGTTCTCACATAAGGTATGTTAATGAACATTGTTGAAAGGCCTTCAATCTAAAGCAAAAGAATTAAAGAAAAAAAATTAATGGAGAAATAGAGATGCACTACCTCTATCGTTTTCTCACAGAAAAGTTATAAACATTCCAACATTCTTTTTTGTTACTCCAGGTGTTGATTAACAAACAGATAGAGAAACTAAGCAGTGTATTTATATAGTAAAGAGAGTAACATTCCCAAACTGCTCATATAATTGATACACAAAATTATGGTGAGATAGAGATTGCCCATATTGATATATTAAGCTCCAAAATTTCCCTTTCAAACAGAGAAGTAAGAACTGTATACCTTCAGGATGGGCCATTTTCTGCATGGCAGTTGGGGCAATCATGATTGGCATGGATAATTTAAAGCCCAGGACAGTAGTGGTCATGTCTATCTTGCTTACATCAATGAGGATGCGGGGACGAAACCTGTAATTGGAAAAAAGATCTCACTTTCTATTTCAATTTTTGAAGTAAATTGACAGATAAGAATTGCCTATGGTATTCAAGTGATTGGGGTGAATATGAAATGATATATTACGAGGTGTGGCCATTAAAGATAGAGAGGTTACAGAATTCTTGAGAAAGCATTTCTGTTTTCTTGTAGAGTCCACTGGTCCTCTGCTCCAGATGCATAGTAGTCATAAACCATCTTGGGCAACTTCTGCTTTGCAATTGCCTCATACTCGGTGACATTTGTGATCTCCATCTTCGTAGCTAGTTGTTACTTTTCGTGTTTCTAAAGATGAAAAATATTAAATCAGAACTTAAGCTGTCCATATATGCAACTAAACAAACAGATAGAGGACTTTGAAGTAAGACTCTTCGCTCCACTTAATATATTCCCCACTTCTGTTGAAAATTAAAATACTCATAAGAGAAAATTCGAGTTTATAATATACAAGAAGGTATAGTAAGGAACTACTAAATGCTCTTCATAAGAAACAGTGCATACTTCTTTAAGATACATAAAGAAGCAATAAAATCTTATGACTGACGCATGATTAAACATTTGGTCTTCCTTTACAAACTTATCATAGTTACTTACAACCCAAAAGAAAAAAGATTCTCTTTAGGATACCAAATAACATGGTAAGAGCTATATTCAAGTACAAAGACCAGATACTTATATTCCTTCATTTTTCACTGAAAACAGAATATATTCATCATAGAAAGATGATATTCAACCCACATAAATGGTAAGGAAAACTACATGGGAAATGCTTTAAATCTTTTAACCAAAATTGAGTACAACCCAGAAGCCTACACAAAATACAAGGCAATACAAACTAAAGACTACGGAGAAAATTTAGAAACACAGTTGAATAGGCAAGAAAAATCAAGAGTAGACAGAACTTGACCTTGGATTCCGAAGACTATGCAAGATGGAGCATGTGAAGAAACCAGTGGAAAGGAATAATAGCTGTAGAGATTTGAGTTAAGATGAAGCAGAAGTTACAGAGAAATAAGCAAGAGGCTATATATATGGGTTTGAATGAAGACAACTACGTGTGGGTCATATATAAATCACGTCCCAAAGAGGAAAATTGAATTAAAATTGTGAATGGATGAGGATTTGGAGGTGAGCATTTGAGATTAAATCCTATCAAAGCAACTGGGTATTTCTCATCCACACAAGATTTGTGTGTTTCACAGCTTTTCTCCTTCATTATCATCCCTCATCCCCAAAAAAAAGATTTATATAAATAATGAAAATGGATTGAGATGATAAAACCCATAAAAGGAGAGAACATAAACCAAGAAGCTAAGGTGAAGGAAAAGGACAAGATCAGTTGGGTCATCATGCGAGCTTCTCCATCCTCTCCCTTTCTGTCAATTTGTAGAGCAGATGAACCGGTGATTGGTGAAGTAGCCGCCCGTGGGTCGGGCTTGAATTTAGTCTAACAGTACTATTTCCTCTTGTTTCCTATATTAGATATCTAATAATAGAAAAAATAATCCAAAGAAATTATAAAATTATTTACATTAATTGCGTATTCTTCTTAATTTATTGGAGAATATATTATTTTACTTTTAATTCTATTTATTAAATAAATAATAAATTTAATAAAAATGCATTTAAAAAACAAGAAGTTGAATTTTAAAAAACAAACATAATAAAAATTGGCATTTTAAAATGATTTTTAAGTAATATAAATATATTTTTATATAGTTTTTTTCATAAAAATAATTGCATCACTTGCCAATACATGCGGAATAAATATTTAGATTTTTTTTTTGTTTTTAAAGATATATATGATACATGTGTCTAAAAATATAACCACATCTATATAGTTCTTTATCATCAATTTATATAATTTTTATGTAAATCATATTTGAATTTATCACAATTTGATACTCTTTGATGAAAAAGATATTTAGGTTTATATTTTATCTTATTAATTTTGTAACAATTATCATATTATTTTATCAAAAATTAATTAAATGATTATGTTTTTTAAGATGATAAGAGATAAGAGATATTTTTCTTTATATTATCAAGTTTTATATTAAGATTTGATCATTCACCAATTATTTTTCTAGATTATATTATAATGCATGATATATTTATATCTAATTAATTTGAATATTATTTTATTCATTAAATTATTTATTTTATAATGTAATTATTAGAGATAATAATGAATCAACTTTCATTATATCCAAATTGTTCAACCTGATATGTGTTTATAAAATATAAACTCTGAGTCTATCCTAAATTTCTAATAAATGTGAAATTTTGTCTAACTTTTACGACTATATTGAGTTTATAAATTATCCAACTAAATTATTTTATTATATTAATATAGATATAAGTATATTTAAATTAATAAAAAATTTAAAATACATTATTTATATATAATAATATACTGTAATCATGTTTATTAGTATAAATAAATTATAGTTGTAGTATAAATATACCTATATTTATATTAATAAAAATTGAAATATATATACTGGATAAGGGTTGGACAAAGTTTGGTAAGCTAAATTCTAATTTAGTTTATCTCATTGATGCTTATTCTACCAGTATAAACTTGAGTCTCCCCTGAACTTACTATTTAGTAGAAAAGATAGACGGAAGCCAAATTTGGTCAGATCGAATTCTATGATTTGATATGAAAATTTCTATTTTTTTTTTTTTACTTTTTTATTTTATTACATATTTATTTATTTTATTTAGTTTTTTTTCTAGCTAATACAAATAATTACAATAACTATTTCTTATATTTTATAGGTTAAAGATTTAACAAAAATGAGTTATCAACATAAGTAAAACATTCTATAGTAATTAAGTATAATATTCATGAATTATGTTTAAGTTAATGTATCTCATTATTATGATTGCATTATTATGTAATATTGCACATTTTATTAGATGTTTCTCATATTTAAATAAATATTCACGCATAGCAACATATGATAAAAGAAATGAATTTTTTTTTCACTATTTGAAAATGGCTATCTTAAAGTTATATTTAAAATAAATTGTAATAATAATCCCAACACATGACATGTGATTAAATCGTAGAATATTGAAGATTTTTGAAGACAAACCACTAGATATCATGAGGAAAATATCTTAGTTATGATAAGATTTTTAATCTATAAAAAAAAAAAAAAAATCTTGCAGGTAATGGAATAAAAATCTCCTTAAATATAGGGGTATGAAAATGAACTTGTCATATAAAACAATAATTATAAATAAGCCAATTTCTTGAGAAAATGCTAAGACAAGTTGTAGTATGATTTTTATGATCTTCACCTTTTTGGCGACTTTTTTACTTCCTCGATCATAATTGTCTTGATTTAGTAAGAATTAACTGAATCATAAATTAGACAATTTTAATTTATCTAATGTCATAGAAGTAAAATATAAATTGTTTAACAATTTGAATTATTTTTTCCATGTGCTTCTGAACTAACTCATTTTTTTATACATAAATTATTCTCATAAACATTGTAGAAGTATGAGAATAATGTCCGATAGGGTAATACTTTAGTTTAATCATAAAGCAAGAAAAATCCAATAACTTAACTTTAGGTATGAAGAGACATTTAGTTAAAACAATACTTTCGTGAGCTAATAGATCTTATACTATTTTTAAAATAGAGAATCAAAAAACAAATATGAAAACAATCCCCTTATATGATCTTAAAATAGAGGAATGTTATCAAATCTTGAACTTCTTATTCCAACCAAGATACTAAATGTTATATAGTTTATACTAACTCATAAATCCTACCTTAAATGTCACAGTTATTATGTTGTCAATGTTATTATTTTTTGCCATCTTTCTTATAAGATGGACAAGAGCTAAGTTTAAAAAAAAAAACTAAGTTGAAATAGAGATAAGTCGAATAATAAAAATTTATATAAAATATTTGGTAATCTCTAAAGAAATAAAATATAACTTTAAAATAAATAATATAAAGGCAAATACTCGAGATGTTAAAGTCCTACATGAACAAAGATGCCAAAAAAATATTTTTATTAGAAACATGATAGATCTCTACTTTAAGATATATTATATGAGGTCTTTATACATATTCCAAAATATCTCCTTAGAGTTGCTACATACATTTACACAGAAACATCCAGGTACATCTCATTGCAAATGTTATCAACATCTTTAGCTGAGATGTTAAAAGACATTTTAGAAACGTTGACTACATCTTGTAATAAGATACTAACAATATCTCTCTAACAATACAAAACACTAGTTGATCAAATAATTAAATTAACTAGTAAAAAATATATATAAATACATATATTTTTGTATAAACATTCTATATACTAAAAGAAAAAAGAGAGCTTTAACATTTTTCTCTTTGAATATTTTTCTTCAAAGTGTAAAGTGAAAAATGAAAAATGAAGTTTTAAATAGGTTTATTTATATGAATCTATGATGAAAAATAATTATAAATTGGGTAGGATTCAACAATTCAAAAAACTTAATCATATTAGAATCGAGTAATTCAAAAAAAAATTATGGTAAAGAAAAACTCTGCCACATCTTCATGTTTAACCATAAGAGAGTAACTTAGATAAACTAATTGATACTAGAGTTGTACTTCATTAACCAAAATAAACTTAATTGAGAACTAACCACTTATCACTAATTATCTTAGT